ATTATAGACTTTCAATAATACGCACGAAAAAAAATAATTTTGCTATTGCAGCGAAACTGTTGTTGCTACTTGAATACTGCATATTTGATATTAACGTGATGACGATACGAAAATTCCTTCATTATACATTATTAAAATTATTCACCATTACAGCAGAACGTTTAATAGAACAGAAATTATTTTATTTCTTTAGCTAAATATTTCGCACAATAATTTTTCAATAAAATTAGTGTTCTTAACACATAATTGTCCATAGCAGAGAAAATAACTTTATCATAAAATAACAGACTTTACTTAAGTTTACATAAGATATATTGTGTTAGCAAATTATCTTTCTCCGCGTGATGTCTGTAAGTGGAACAGGTTTTCGACTTGCCTGTAACATCCCTGAGATCTAAGCAGCTGCCCTCTTGTGCCGTTCAGTGAACTAAAGTTGCAGTCGGTAATCCATCTCTCATGGTAAAAAGGCCCGGGCAGCAGCTATAAGACCCACCCTGTATAAGAACAATATCGTGCAATTAGAACTAAGATTAATAGCCTAGAAAAAAAGATTACTTCTAATTACCGCAAGTATAAAAATCCAATTCTAGAAGACGAAAAAAAGATCAGCATGGCGTGTAAAAATAGTTGCAGGCTTTCTCGAGAGATGTTACTGCCAAACGTCTGTCAGATTGTCGGTAAAGCCATGGTGTCGACGATTCTATAATTCGATCCAAAATCTCGGTCTGAGCAATGTGTAGCTAATAAAATTGCTGCTTTTTCGTAAAAGTTGCAAATTGATTGGCTATTTTCTCGGACCGAATTCTAACATCGTGAACACGAGATCATATAATACAGGGTACGAGCGTTTTCGAGTTCGGAGCGCGCGAATTAATCTGTCTGTGCGTGCGCGCACATCGGCGCGGTAATAGAAGCGACCACATACGTTTGTAACTGCGACAAACTTTATTTCATAAACTAAACGAAAATTAAGAATTTTAATATTTCTCAAACATTATTCAGTTCTATCCTTGTTATTTTACCTACATGTCAATTGATAAATCTCATTGAATACGAAGTTTGTCGCTAATCAAATTTTATGGCAAGATTCTGCTACAATTTCGATAAATTTTAATGTTTATCCTTGCCAAGAAATATTTAGTACTTATAACGTGCAGGACTTGTTCAATGAATAATGTTTCGAAGGTTGTACGGAACGTCCGGTGTGTCGAGTAAGAGATCTTGCCTGATCTGGTAATTGATTAGCATAATATAGTTTCATATATAATTATTTGTTTATATATTTCAGCTAAGTCATGGTTAAGTTTAAGTGGCTTCTGAGTAAGATTTTACTGCAAAGAATATTCCTTCTAAGCGTCACCGGCGTGATTGCACGTGAAATATTAATGGGCTATCTCGATTACAATAACCAGGTTATACATTTGAACATGTTTTTTAATTATGTAATTAATTTGTGCGCGCATAAGAAGCAATCAATTTTAATAATATAATTTTAGCGACGAATGAATGAATCAGGAATTAGCCGTGGCTGTGAATTTTTCTACAAATTATAATTTTTTAAATATGAATTTTCTATTAATATAGACACTCACAAAACATGTCGGCTTGAAAAAGTGAAAAAGCCCCTTTATATTAAATTGCTCACATTTCAACGATTATATTAATCAATCTGGATATCCGTTTTGTTTGCCAGAAAACGAAGCATGCTCAATGATCAGTCACGAACGTTGTGTATCATTAATTAATTATGTCGGCTGCATTCATTACGGAGCACACTGATCGCGCAAGACAGTCCATATAAAACGTTTCGCTTAATGTGCGCTAGACAGGCGAGATTTATACGGTGGAAATGTAATTAATTATCAAACTGCTCCGCGAAAGTTCCGTAATTCCATCGTGGGGTTTGTTGTCCGTCTCCTGTCCGGATATTTCCGCGTGCAACACATTAATTATATTCAACAAAATTTTTCACATTGATCTTGTTTCGCCTATACTTCATGATATTCTCACTAACACTATGTATTTTACTTCGCTTACAGTTTCATAAATGGATTCAATTTTCCTCTCGACATTAGGCATTTTTATTAATATTAATTTTATTAAATTGCAATTATATTATTTCTTTCGCACAATTTTCAGCCGAAGAGTTGAAAAGGCTCGCTCTGTTTAACTATTAAATATAATCAAATAGCAGAAAATGTTTAACATTTAATTATAAATGTGGTTAAATGGAACATAGCTGGTCGCTGAAAATCTCTTCAGTTTCCTGTTGGAAGCTATGCTATACTTGGATCAGCTATCTCGTTTAATTAATCATTTATTTAACCGACACGTCCATTGTTAACGATCTTTATCAGCTCCAAGCATCCTTAGCGCGACCTTCGGCATAACAAACGTTAGATCATACGCTCCGTACTATCTGTTCGGTGCTGACCCTAATTCATTTAGTAAAAGGACGCCCATTTTTTTTTTATTTCTCCTTGTTCGACAAAAGTACCGTCGGTCGAGAAGCAGGCCACTTGCCACGCAACGTCGGTTCCGCGGTTCAAATGCAGGAAACTTTAATTACTCCGGTGAAACGAACTTCGCTCTCTTGCGATACGCTGACCTTGTGTACACCTTTTCTCTTTCTCTATTTCTTCGAAGGTGGTTGAGTATATGGAGTCGATGTCGTACCGACAAGCCCGGGAATCTAGCAGGATGAAAAGTAGCCGAGGACTCTTTCCTCTGGATGCCAAGTCATCCGCGAGGAATCAACGCGCAACTAACACCGAGAACGAGTAGATCTCCGCGGTTCAGTAATGAAACGTGCTTGATTGTGAATAACGTTATCAATATAAATCGACTCTAAGCTCAGTTTTTAAATTAACTGGTGTACTTTTTCATTGATGTGTACGAAAGTGCCTTATATACTTTAAATACCTTATATACTTTTTAAATGTCTTAAGAAAGAATTGTATGCACGATTTTTAACAAAACCTTTTCAGACATCTTATTTAGGATATTCGGAAAATTACAATTATTCTGTTGCAATCATTTCCCGTGGTGTCATTCATACACGTATATGATTGCGACTAGTCACTCGCACGTGGTTAATATGTGCTCAGAGGTCGTTTAGTACATTTAGCCTTCTCGCAATCCCCCAAGCATTTAAATAGATATCGCGAGCGTAAGACTAGAAAGAATATAGTATTTCCTGCATAGGACGCAACAAAGGAACAAAGGTACCGATGAGCGGTATAATTTAAGACTTGTACGCAACACGATAAAATCTCGAGAAAACAATCGAGATCGATCTTTCGCCCGAATTTGTCGAATTTATTACGCGAGAAGGAATTTTTAGGCAAACAATGGCTCATTCTGACTTTGAGTCAGCAAACTGAAAGGAAGATGATTTATACTAATGTTGATGATAATTGATGCGCTTTTGATACAACAATCGGGAATTCTAACTCTTCGCGAATATCTTAAATTAGCAAAATACATAGTTTATTTCTGTCTCTATTGTCTGGCCTGATACGTCATATGTTTTTTCATTACGTCGCTGGTGGAATGACTTGTGATAATGCACTGTATTATAGTTGTCGGTCTGTCTCGCAATAAGACATTTTGATAAGCGAAGTCAGAAATGTTATTGTCAAAACGTTACGGACAATGGGATTTCTATCGCACTTGTAACACAATCCCGCCGCAGTTTGAATATCACCGCGAGAGACTGGTTAGGGATTATCCTAAAAATTTTTTGTTACTGTGAATTATCTAACATGACATTTTACAATATTATTTTATGCAGTTGAAAAGTTTTTTTTTTATAAAATCGAGGGCGGCGAGGAAGAAATATATTAATGTTGAATAATACTTTAAATGGCTGTCGATACAAAGCTTGATAACGTAAAGGATTCTTACGGTAATATTTGGAGGCTGATCGTTAGGAGAGTTGTGAGTAATGTAAATAGAAAAGTCCAAAGGAAAGGTGAAAGTATAAGTGGATTATAAGTGGAAACAAACAATGCTTAATTAAGGATTAACGGAATTTTCAGCAAGATTTAGTCTTCTTTACAATTTCTTATCAAATGAATTATGTATTTACCGAACGCCAGGGAGTTTATAACTCATTCGGGAAATACTTTGTTACGATATGCTATGTATGTTATACAAGACGCTAGACTAACATTTGATGAAATAATTTATGAGCATACGTAACAAAATGTAAAAGTAATTCCCAAGATACCCTATTCTTTTTTTAAGCATTACAGTTGTAAAGAAAGCAATAAGTCTGATTTAAGTAAACAAAGATAGTGGATCTCTATCTCGAAAAATATATTTCTGGCACAGTTTCGAGAAACATTAAGATAAAATTTTGTATAGATAGATATATTATAAAATGTAACTTTCGATTGATTGTAGTCTAGAATCCCCAGTTAACATAATGACGTCAAAATGACGTTTCTGACGACATTACGACGTCAAAATGACAACAAGCAACGTCATCACGTTTGCTGGATCATTGTAATCGTAAACACGGAAAGATCTACTTACCTCGTACATTATTTGCTACGCAGTAGAAAGAGAGACTCTCTCCACCGTTCCACTACACATTTTTGGAAATTCAACTTATATGAAAACACCAAGTATTGAGCGAAGCTATTGCGGTTCCTTTCTCGCAGGTTCCTCATAGAACAAAATAGAATATCACGGATAATTCAATTTGTCAATGTCGCATTCATAGAAATTCTGCGAAAAAAGAAAATAATATTTTTCTCTAGGTAAATTATATAATTATAAGAATTATATAATTAAATGTAAGCACGTGGACATCTTCCAGTTAAGCTGTCGATTCCCGTCGACAAACATCAGAATCGTCAGCGCGGTGCTGCGCACAGTAAATCAGCGGGTTGAGAGTTTACTCAAGTGATAAAATTGTTTGAATGATATTAAGCGATGAGCTCGAAAAGGTAGAGAAATGTCTTTGAAAGTGGAGTGATTTCATCAGCTTGCGCGTGAAAGATTACCCTGCAGAATCTATGCGTATCGCATATATGCCCGTATAATCACTATTATCGAAACATTCGAAACTCCACACTTCGCAGAAGCTGTTGAACGCGGTATCGTTTTGACGCGCGCGCAACGAAGGTTGGGAAAATCGTATCGAACTGTCAGCTTGTGGATCATGTGTTGTGCAATCACCGTTTGATGTCTTACGTAAAATAAGTGCTCCATACTCCATAATGTCGAACAAACCTAATAATAAATCTAACGCAATCGACGTACCTGAGAAGAAACATATTGAACAACGAGAGTCCAGTAAGTACACGATTTTTGTAAACTGAAATGGATTTTGCTGGAGAATAATAATTTTTAAAGCTTTGAAATACTTTTGCTGAAGAGAAATGATTTGGAGATTTCAGGCATGGTAGCATCGATTGTTATAAATAATAATTATTTACCTTTCAGTCAATCTCCTTTAATGCCATCAAAAATTACAGATGGAGTATCAAATTTTTTTCGCGCACTCTTTTAGATTTTATTACTAGACTTTTAACGATATAATTTATATAATAGTTCGCTTCTATCATCGCGTACTGAAGATGACCTTATTTCAGGTTGAAACGCTTGTCATATTATCAGCTATCTTTAACTAAATTACAATATGTATGTAGCGCGTAAAACACATGTATCTAGCCTGGTCTTTTTACATCTTTACTTAATGTTTACTTAATCTTCTTTACTTAATGTTTATTTTATTTACTGCTTATACACTTTCAAAATTATATGCTATTTTTAGTTGTAATTGAGGACGTACCAAATGCGAAAATTGCCGATTTTGAAACGGCGATCACCGTCGCCGGAACTGGGAAATTTCAGTATCTTCTCATCCTTGCGATTATCCCGGGCTCCTGGGCATCGAGCATAGATACGGCTAATATGTCGATGATACTCGCATCGGCGGAGTGCGACTTAGGATTGACACTGTTCCACAAAGGACTCTTGAATGCTATTATCTATGTAGGTGAGTGTAATGCGGCATTCGAAATTACGTTTAATACATTCAGATTATTTCAAGCAACGATAAAGCTATTTCTAACAATACTAAAATAATGTAAAGACACGAGGGAAAATATAAGAATAATGTAAGAATTTCATCATGTATTTAAACTTGTACTAGGTATGGTGTTGAGTGGTTTTATATGGGGATACCTGGCTGACGTTAAAGGAAGGAAGAAGATTATAGTATATGGCTATATGGCAGATGGTATTTGCAATGTACTGTCAGGATTTTCACAGAACTTCGAGACGCTCGTGTTCTTCAAATTTCTGAGTGGTCTCATGTAAGAAAAATACAATATCATATTAATATTAAATTTCATAACATATACACGCAACTATTTAAAGGGAAACAAAGAACCTCAATCTTAAGGAACAATGCTATTATGACGGTCTGAAAATATTGTACACTCGTCTGCTGGAGCTCCTAAGAAAATTCTTCTTCATGGCTGCTATGATTTCAGTGAAAAGATTCTTAATCTAATCGTAAATAACCAGAATTATTTCGATTCACGTAAAATTTGAATTTAGCGGGCTAAGCTAGCAATTTTTGCCACACTTTTGTTTAAAATTCCGTAATTTTTGGTCGACATTTTAAAACTATTCCGGCACCGGTAATAGCTACACCCGTATACAGATTAAGAATCTTTTTGGTTTTTGTTTTTAAACCATTGTAACAGCTGGAATTATAGCAGCTGTAGCTCCATGCATGGAGAAGTTTTTTGAGCCCCGGCCAGACGAGCTTATACATCCACCCACTTTGCTTGAAAAAATGCTGAAATAATCTTGAAATGTTAATTCCATTGAATTTCAAACTGACGTGTGTTGTATAATTATTTAAAATAAAAATATAAAAATTGCCTTATTTTGGAACCGTTACAGTAGCATGGCCCTTTAATAAAATTTTAATATATTTAACAAAGAAAGTGATCAATTGATTAAAATTTAATCGCGTTAGTGTGAGCGGTCCACATGCTACTCTTATGGCATACTGCTCGGAATTTTATGGCGCCAGCGGTAGAACAAAGATACCAATTCTCGTTGGTTTCTCAGTTTCGTTGGGATGTGTCGTAAATGCAGGTAAAATATTTTAGCGTTTCTTGATTACGGAAAATAAATAACATAAGCAATTGTCAACAATAGTCTTAATATAAATCTAATTTTTTATTTAAAAAATATCGCTTAATGCATACACTTGTTACTAGCATTGGCTTGGCTAGTGGTTCCTCAACCGTGGTCAATTGTCCTTTGGGATGGTGCCTTTGTCTATAATTCCTGGAGAATCTTCTTGTCCCTCTGTGGGGTACCGACATTGATAGGCATTGTTTGCATGTCTTTATTCCCAGAGAGCCCTAAGTTTCTGATGACGCAGAATCGCAATGAAGATGCTCTTGAAGTTTTCAAGAAGATCTACAGTGTGAATACCGGTTTGCCGAAAGATAATTATCCTGTAAGCATATTATAAGAATCACATTGCATAAAATTATTTAGGTGGCTCGTAAACAAAAATGCCCGCAAGTATTTTAGTAAAATATACGTTTCCTTTTTTAGTAAACTTACTTTTCAAATACATTGAGTATATACATGTATACACTATACATTTTTCGTTGTTAGATACACGCCTTGGGCGATGTGAATTTAAATAGGGCAACCGCAGAGCAATCAAAATGTCAAAACGGTGCGAAGGCGAGCTTGAAGAGCGGAATTCAGCAGATGAAGCCTATTTTCTTGAATCCACATCTCTCGCGTATTTTATTACTCGTTACTATACAATTTTGTGGAATGTTGGGGTGAGCATTATATTACTATAATAATATAGCTACATTTAGTTTTTTTTTACATAGAACGTAATTTTATTTTGTATTATTCTCGTGCGCATGTTGCTTAATTACTCTAAAACTTTTGGTTAAAATTCGACATGAAAAGGTATACAATAAAATTAATTTTTGACAGGTAAAAGTTATTTATAGTCGCCAGTGACGATTAAAAATTAAAACAGTGATGAACTGACAAAATTTTTTACTTAATACTTGATCGTCTCACTTTAATCATTGATTTGCAGTCTTGTTACTTGTAAAGGATTTGAAGTAAGGTCGAAACGTTGTAGCGTATTAAGTAAAAAATTTTGCCAGTTGGGTTGACAACGAGCTCACTGTTTTAAAATTTATCTATTCGGCAAAATAAACTAGCATAACCATGGATTTGTAGAAACGATTGATTTGCCTTGTTATTAATTGTTATTAGTCGCACAATAATTTATAGTCGCGAATCACCGCGAGGCTTGCGATTGTCGTGGTTGTAAATCTCGGAGTTATCAGAATGGCGAGTAGCGCGGTAATAGCGATAATAATGTTCGTACGAGAATCCGTATAATGCTCCCGTAGAATCGTGCTTTTTACAAGATACAATAAGGTAGGTGACTCGTCGTAAAAAACGGAAGATCTCGGTTAGTCATATAAATGCCGTGTTGATGATTGAATGACAGAGAATTTACGACCTTATCAGCGCGGAAGATATCGCACGCCTCTGTTTCTTCATGTTTCGTTGTTAACTGAGACATTCCCATTATCTGTGGATACATACGGTCCCGGGATACTATATGTACTTGCATCACGTGTTCTACTAAATTCTTCTACTAAATTAAAGGATGTCAGCCGAGGAGACAAACAATACTGAATACACATCGTCCTCGGTTCAGAAGTCTGAAATCTTCTACTAAATCTTCTACCAAATCTTCTCCTAAATCTTCTACCAAATCTTCTCTTAAATCTTCTACTAAATCTTCAAGCAAAATCTTCTACTAAATTAAGGGACGTCAAGCCAACAGCAGTAACGAAAATAAAAATACGCTGTTTATCGTTTTAATTGTGCAATTGTGCAGTTTGCGATTAAATTGCATCCTCTCTTTATACTCAGAGGCATTATCGAACTTAGTGAAAATTTTCCATTCAAGTACATCGTTGCGTTGATAACGACCAAAATAAGTGAGATGATTTCCAGATTAAATAATGCAAGTTTTAATAGCATATTATAAAGAGCCTACTTTATGTCTGCATAAACAACACACATGTATGAAAACTTTCCATTTGACTACTATACAAAGTTAAATTATATTAAATAAATTAGTATGGCTCGTATGTGTTAATCACAAATTTCAAAGAATTTAAAGGACTCACAATCAGAGCCGTGACAGGGTGGTAGTGTCTAAATATTCTATTCTAAGTTCTAAGGGTCTGGCCCACTCTGGCCGAGGTGATATTTTTTTGCAATAAACTTAGAATAGAATATTTAGACACT